CCGCCGCCGCTGACAGCCTGTGTTCAGGGACTTTTCTCCCGATGACATTTCACTTTCGCTGGCATTTCCAGGAAGAGCAGCCGGGCCTTGACCGATGTGTCTTGGGAGCCGATGAGACCAGTGTGTTGCTTCCGAAGCTCCCAGCGCTCCTGTGTGTCTAGCAGGACAGTCGCGTCAATGAACAAGAATACGAATCGGCCTGGCAGGTGTGGCTCAGTCTTTAGAGCGTCGGCCCAGGCACCAGAGGGTCGCGGGTTCGATTCCCAGTTTGATCCCCAGCTCTGATCAGGGGTCAGGGAGATCTCAGGGCGCATGCGGGAGGCAACCCATCCAGGAGTCTCTCTCACATGGGTGTTTCTCTCTCTCTCCCTCCTCCCTCCCTCCCTCCCAGTCTCTCTAAAAAAATCAATGGCCGAAACAGGTTTGGCTCAGTGGATAGAGCGTCGGCCTGCGGACTGAAAGGTCCCAGGTTCGATTCCGGTCAAGGACATGTACCTGGGTTGCGGGCACATCCCCGGTGGGAGATGTGCAGGAGGCAGCTAATCGATGTTTCTCTCTCATCGATGTTTCTAACTCTCTATCTCTCTCCCTTCCTCTCTGTGGAAAATCAATAAAATATATTTAAAAAAATAAAAATAAAAAAATCAATGGAAAAAAGTATCCTCTGGTGAGGATTAAACAACAAAATTATACATATATATGTATGTGTGTATGTATATCTCAAATCGCTAAGCATAATTTCAACTGTTTTTCCCATTGCTGTTTTTTAAATATATATATTTTTATTGATCTCAGAGAGGAAGAGAGGGATAGAGAGAGAGAAACATCAATGATGAGAATCATTGATTGGCTGCCTCCTGCACGCCCCCTACTGGGGACTGAGCCTTCAACCCCGGCATGTGCCCTTGACCCGAATCTAACCCAGGACCCTTAGGTCTGCAGGCCGGACGCTCTATCCACTGAGCCAAACCAGCCAGGGCTCACTGCTGTTGTTTTACCAGGCCTGAATCAACTTAGAGTCATTTGTGTGCCCTCTTTCCTCCTTTTCTGTGACCACACCACTCCATGCCAAGCCCCATGGCTCCCCTGGGCCCCTCCGCATTCTGGGTGGCACATGCATCTCTGGAAACGAGCGCCCTCGCTGAGCCTTCAGGAGAAGCTTCTGTTTAACTCGTTCTCCTGCTGGTAAAAAAGGGAAGTTATTTGTTTGAAGTTGACGGATCAGAGCAAGGGCACAGTTTTAAATAATCCACCTTAGACTTTAATGAGGCCAGTTTGCTAAATAAACCAAGGACATCCTGGTGACTTTTACTATAGAAATACTACTTTTTGATGTTTTCTCAATAACAGTGATAAAATTAGGGCACCAGGAAGGACTTAGTAGGCCTTTCTTTTTTAAGTGCCATGAATGAGCCAGATTTCAATGACGAATTAATTTTGGTGACTGAACAAAGTTGTCTTGAGAGAGGAATCTGCTTAGGAGTTTGGCTGCAGACTCCGAGGGTTCCCACTGGGATGTGCACGCGGAATGTGCCAGCTGTCATATTGGAAGGAAGCTGAGATTTGTAGTCCACGTGACAGGTGATCATTTGACACCCCCCCACACCCCCCACCACCACTTGTTCCAGTTAAACCCTGATGTTGGATGTGAACATGCTCTGTTCTTTAAGGCACATGAGGTGATTCATAAGTAACTCAGGCTGTGCCAAGAGTATTCTTAACACCTTGGAGAAAGATGTTTAAGTAAATTATTAGGGTTGACTGACACTGTGCAAAGCAGTTGCTAGGCAGTATTTACTTTGTGAAGGAAGGATGTTGGCCCTCTGTATGTGGGGATTCCACATCTGCTGGCAGGTGGAAAGGAAATGCTAGGGAAAAGTTACGATCCTACTGATGTGTACTTTGTCCTTGGGCCTGTGGTGCCGCATGTTGTGCCTGTACTGAACATGGACAGACCTTTTTCCTTGTCATCATCCCCTGAACAATACGGTGTAACTACTGTTTACCTTGTGTTAGGTGTAGTAAGGAACCTAGAAATGCTTTAAAGCTCACAGGTTGACTCGAACAACAGGGCTTGACTGTAAGGGTTCATTTATATGTGGACTTTTTTTTCCAGTAAATACTGTAAATGTACTTTCTCATAATTTTTTCTTAACATTTTCTCTATTGTAAGAAAACAATGTATAAATACATGGATAAACTATGTGTTAGTGGACTATTGATATTACTGGTAAGGCTTCCTTCCAGTCAACAGTAGGCTACGAATAGTTAATTTGGGGGAATCAAAAGTTATATGTGGTTTTTGACTGCTGGGGTGGGGGTGGGGGTCAACGGTACTATGCCCGTAATGTAAGGGACACGAGCATCCTGGGATTTGGGTATCCGAGGTGGGTCCTGGCACCCATCCCCCGTGGGCACCCAGGGATGACTGTGTGTATCTGTTTCAGGTCCCTGCCCCTCGTAGCTTTCGGAGAGTGACCAACCAGATGGGGAATAGGAGCTGTTGGCGCGTGAAGAGCAGTGATCACGGTCAGTGTGGTCCTTCTCTTACTTTGTATTCGCTGGGCTTCAGCCCCTTCAGTCTGATCTCTTCTTCTGTGTGATTGCCTTGTGAGAGGACCAGAGTGGATGAGTGACCATGGGCCCCAAGGAGCTCCCCATGTTGGATAGGGACTCGTTCGCTCTCTTTGCCTGCACTGGGTTTCCTTATGAGTTTCTCTGCCCGAAACATGTAGTTTCAGAGTCAGCAACTGTCAATATTTTAATTGCTCTTGGATTTTTAAGGCACTGGTTAAATTTCAGGAGTTGGACTGAGCTGTCGGAATCTATTGTTTCTATTTATGTTTTGCGTTCTTTCTGAATCTGGCTGCCCGCTGTATGTGCCCCAAAAGGCGGCACATTTTCACATGGTGATGCTGAGTGCTCCACACGGTCCTCAGAGGCTGTCCTCTGCTCTGATGCCAACTTTCTAATGCTGCTGTTGTTTCGTCTGTTCCTCATTCGTTAAGTCCTTAAAAGACAGGACATGTGGTGAATTCTCTCCCTTTATGACCACTTTTCAGGGGAAGCAACTGGCTGTAATATTCAGCTCCATGTTTTTATTCTTCCTTTTTCTTCTTTGAATATTAGTGCAAGTAAGGGGTATTTGTTTATTCATTATATTGTAACGTATTAAAGTCTGTTTTTGATTTTGAGTATAACTGTGATAAGTTGAGATCCCCTTCCCACTCAGCCCCGTCTGGGAGCACTTCCTTCTGGGCCTGGGCCTTCCTTTCCTACACCTGCAGGGGGGCGTTGGCTCCTTTTAGTGCAGAAAGGAGCTTAGAGACCACGGTGTCAGGTGTGTTCACAATGTTTGTCTGTGTTACTGCTGTGAGCACCTACCTCTCTGGTGGACAGAGCTAGGAAATATATTTTTAAACATCATGAGTTCATACTGATATTTTTAGTACACATTTAAAATCAGTTTTACTTAAATTCTTTGATTTTCTTTTGTTTGTTTTTTGTTACTCCTCACCCAAGGATATTTTTTCCATTGCTTCTGAGAGAGACTAGAAGGGAGGGAGGAAGGAAGGGAGGGAGGAGAGGGGAGAGAGAGGGAGAGAGAAATACCGATGTGAGAGAGACACATTGATTTCTTGCTTTCCCACCCGCCCCCACTGGGACCAGGGATCAAACCTGCAACCAAAGTACATGGCCTTGATGGGAAATCGAACCCAAGACCCTTTGGTGCAAGGGCCAACGTTTTAACCACTGAGCAACTGGCAAGAACAATTTCTTGAATTTGTAAAATTTGTATCATTTTTCTATCCTGAAAATCTTGATTCTTAATGCCATTGACATAATTACTTGTTTTATGCTAAAATGTACATACAATAAAATTGCTAACTTATAAAACTACGTTACTACTACTAATGAAACTACTTAGGAAAGTTTTAAGTGTTTTTGTTTGTAAGTTCTTTTTGTCCTTAATATACACCAGTGATGGGAACCTTTTGAGCTCGGCATGTTAGCATTTTGAAAAACCCTAACTTAACTCTGGTGCAGTGTCACATATAGAAATTTTTTGATATTTGCAACCATAGTAAAACAAAGACTTATATTTTTGATATTTATTTTATATATTTAAATGCCATTTAACAAAGAAAAATCAACCAAAAAAATGAGTTCGCCCGTCACTTCTGACATGTGTGTCATAGGTTCGCCATCACTGATATACACAGTTGACCATGAATAATATAGGGGTTAGGAGCAGTAACCCCCATGCAGTTGAAAATCCACGGATAATGTTGGATTCCCCCAAAACTTAGTTGGCCCTTGGTATCCACAGGGAATCTGTTCCAGAACACACACACACTGTGATGCTCTCAGCTTCCCTGTATAAAATGGTGTAGATCAACACATACAGTGCCCCTCTGTATTCATGGACTCCCAACTACAGATCAGAAATAGTACTACAGGTACTTATTGAAAAAATCCACTTATAAGTGGACCCGTGCAGTTCAAATCTGTGTTTAGAGTCACCTGTGTCCCCCTTAGAATGAATAAGGTACCATGTTTAAAAGCCCTTCATGAATATTCTCTTGTTGTTGTTGGTAATCTTCACCAGAGGATAGTTTTTCCATTGCTTTTCAGAGAGAGTGGAAGGGGCTGGAAGGGGGAGAGAGAGAAAAAATGCATCTTCATGAGAGAGAAAACTCGGAAAGGGAGGAAGAGAGAAACATTAAAGTGAGAGAGACACATCAGTTGGTTGCCTCTCAAACTCACCTTGACCAGGGGGCAGGGAGCAAACCTGAAATCCAGGTACATGCCCTTGACCTGGAATCAAACCCACTAACCTTTGGTATATGGGCCAGCACTCTAACCACTGAGCAACACCGGCCAGGTGATGAATATTCTTTTGTCTGTGGTTTCTCTCTCTGCCTTCCCCTCTCTCTAAAATCAATAGCATATCCTCAGGATAGGATAAAAAAATAAAGATTTTGCTGGCTTACCAGAATCCTGCAACGTGTCCTGCCCGTCACACCTCCCTCCCTCCTTCCTGACAAAAGTAACTGCTGACCACTTTTATGGCAGTTACCCTCTTTTCTTAAGAGTATCATGGGTGGCCGAAACCGGTTTGGCTCAGTGGATAGAGCGACGGCCTGCGGACTGAAAGGTCCCAGGTTCGATTCCGGTCAAGGGCATGTACCTGGGTTGCGGGCACATCCCCAGTAGGAGATGTGCAGGAGGCAGCTGATCGATGTCTCTCTCTCATCGATGTTTCTAACTCTCTATCTCTCTCCCTTCCCCTCTGTAAAAAATCAATAAAATATATTTAAAAAAAGAAAAAAGAGTTTCATGGGTGAATTGTGCATCTCCACATAGTAAAGTATTGCTTGATTATATGACACTTAAGTCTCTTATCATCTCTTTCACCTCCATGGACATAATTTGTGGAGGAGGCCCTGTGGTTGGACCCATGTTCCTCAGTCTAGATTTTGCTGATCGTGGTCCTCTGGTGAGTGTGATGTGTTCCTGTGTCCTTGGTTCCCTGCAAGTGTGTAGTTGCCCTGGAAGCTTGACCATATTCAGGTGTGATCTCTGGTGCGCCTCCTTCACGGGGGTGTGCTGTGTGGGGCATCTCTTTTGGATGTTGGCAGGCAGTGAAGCACATGCCTGTGTGCACTCCGCCATGAGAAGGTGTGGAACCAGATGGTGTGGCTTAGTTCCTGAGGGCTGCCAGGTTTATGAGCTGGACTTCCAGGAAGAGGAGCCTGTCCTTCCCTACCATTTGGTTATCTCATGTTCTAGCTCATGTCTCAAATGAAGATCAGTACTTAATCCTTTCTCTTTATCAATTTTCAAAATAATGAATCATTTTCCTATCATCCTCCAAATGTGACCAGTTGATTTTATTTTGGTATTATAAGCTCATAGATTTAAACATACTGGGTGAGTTTTAAGCAGGGACCTCCTTGTCTGCATGACAATCCGTGTTTAGTCTGTGAATTGGTTCTTTCAGAGATTAGCTGCAGGCTTCTTAGTTCCTCGTTGATGTGTCCTTTCTGATAGCAAAGGGGAATGAAATGGATTTCAGGGAGTTCAGCTTTGCTGATTATAGCAGCAGCAGGTGCCTCCATACATGGATGGCACGTGCAGGCATCAATTCTAGCCCAAACCAACCGTTGTATGACATGCAAGGTTTTTTCTGTGTTGCCCCAATCCTTTATTAATAGGCGATTTGAATTTAAACTCCTACCTTTTCATTTTTCCTTTATTTTCTAGTTTTAAAGTATTTTCAAAAAGTAGCTTTTAAAAATCAAAGAATGAGCTTTTCTATTTTAAATTACCATTATAGAATTTTTTTCTATGCAAATTGAAGCTGATAGATCCCTGACACTACAAGGTTTGAAATGTGTAAATCAGTTAAGTGCTTGACCTGATTTCATCTTTTGTAGGTAATGCAGGAACATCAAGATGGTGCCGTTCCTGTTTCCAAGGCAACAACAGGTCTACACAGCATGAATTTACATCTGCACCAAGAAGTACTTTATACAACTCCTGGAAAGCAGTGATCTGGGCCCTGAGATGATGTGCTCCTGAGTTGCTTCTTCTGTTTTCCAGTAACATGTATGATTAGCCATATTCATGAACATCCTGAAAGTTAGAATTATTTTGAAAACACTGAAGATAATGGATGTTTGGGGGCAAATTGAGAGCTTAGATTATTTTCTTGCCAAA